AAGAAGTAGCATAAATCCACCTGGCTTTTAAATTGACTTGCTTCCTGGGGAAAACCGTGCGCCTCAGTGCCCCGAGGGGGCGTCGCTGCCGGTGGCTTCGGTGCGCCAGCTCGGGTCCCAGAGAAATTTGATGGTCCTGATAACTTCCCAAGTGCTTGTATGTTCTAGTGAGGCACAGGGGGGCGCCTAAGGAAGGGGCGAGAAGACCAGTGGCGGCCAAGGCCGCACACCCCCCTCGGGCCTTCCTGGAGCCTGTGCCGCTGAAGAAGGCCATGAGCTCCGTCTTGCCCGCCTTCCAGTTCATGGTGAACCCCCTAGACTTGGTTTCTTCGCACATAATCGTGACGAGGGAGATGGCCGCCTCCTTCCAGAGCCTAGCGCCTAACAGCTCGATGCCGTTGACGAGGTCATCCATGAAGGCAGGATCCCACACATATTCCCTTACATGTTCGTGCTCGCGACCTCTGAAAATCCTCTGAGACGGGTCCACATCCCTAGTCTTTTGAAGATATCCCAGAGCTCCTAATCTACTGTTGACCGCGATTATGATTGGGTCGAAGGCAATGATGAACAGGAGGTCCGCTAGTGGCATGCCTGGCCTCGTACCTGGGCGGGGGGAAACAACCCTGGCGCCCCCCCGTACTTGGAACCAGTTGCACTCCATCACGCCAACCACTGCTTCCAGGAGGTGCTTATTCGCAAGTCCGTCCAGAGCGCCAGGCTTGGCGACTAGGGCATGGCATAGTGGCTCTAGACAACTTGGTATCTCCAAGTCCGCCAACGCGTTTTGAATGTCCTCGCTGTTCTGGGCCATTCTGGCCACGAACCCTCGGATGACCGAATCGAATGCCGCCTTTAGATAAGTGTACAACGACAGGTATGTGCACTTCCTAGCCTTGGCTACCATCATGGCCGACCGAAGATGCAAGGATGCAATGTCAGTGCCACGCTGAGGGAGAGCCCCCTGCTGGACCACCGACAGCATGTGCATCGATGCATCTAGCAATTTGCTTCTGAGGAAGGCATGGTGCAACTTCGCCGTGTGACATCCTAGCAGGATGCCTCTGTAGTGTTCCAGGGGTTCGGGTGACCCAGATTTGTGTAGATCACATTGCCAACCTCCTTTGAACGGCAGGGGCTCCCTGGACGCCATGTCTACCTTCACGAACAACGGCAACAGGATCTGCGTGCATTCTAGTGGAGCGACCTGGAAAAGATCGTTGCTGAGCCCGTCAGGTCCAGCTCCTCTTCTCTTGGCTGCCTTCATGATGTCGTGCTTGAGCCTGCGAAAGGGGGTGCCATGTCCAACTCCCTGGGGTATACGTTACCACGTTCGGGGAGGGCGTTGTATCTTTCCACCAGGTCTTCCCAGCTGAGTGTCTGACCGTTCTCAACAACAGCAAAATAGTCAGTGAGGGCCCCCGAGAGATCTCCAGATGTGGCCAGAACCTCGCCCTGAGGACCTCGTCGGATTCTCAGCCCCTCGACCTGGAAACTGGAACGCTTTCCCCCAAACCTTTGCAGCTGGCATAGCACCTCCCATTCCACTCGACTCTCGTTTGAGGACCTGGCGCTGCTGAACTGCTGCGCGAGGTCGTCTAACAGCTTGTTGCGGGAGTGCTTCAAGGCCCTTCTCAGGGCCGGCTTCGACCTGACCAGAAACTCAAGCATGTGCGCAGCTAGCTCGCTTGCCCTCAACCTCTGAGTTTCCCAATCGGCGAAAGCCTGAAAAAGCTCCGAAACCAAGATGTCCAGCTCTAGATCGGTGATGTTATGAGGGCCCCCGCCTCAAGCGACGCGGCAACCAGCCTCCTGACACCACCAGAGTCATGCTTGCCCCAGAGACGCCATGCCTGTCGCATTTGCCTTCTGAAGGTAATTACTCCAAGAAGGTCCTCCGATACATGCGGCTTGATCGGGGTACGCGCGGGTTTAGGGTAGCAGGTTTGTGCACCCACGTACATGTATTGAATAATGTCGTGCAAGTGCTGATTCATGTCGACCTGGTGGGGCACCGTGGGAAAAAGCGGCCAAGTGCATCCTGAAAGCTGCTGTCTTATCAGGGTCCTGGGTGCCCAAAACGTCGTAGCCGCTCTGCCCTTGCGCTGCCTTGGTGGAGCCCTGGGACTCGAAGCGCATGAAGACAGGATAATGACCCTTGCCAGTGCAGAAGGAATCTATATCATATCGGACTTGGTGTTGGTCCAATGCGGGAATCATACTCTGCTCAACCGCAACGTAGTCTATTCGATGTGGTGTTTCAGACTTAGACGAGACGAACGTGTATGAGTCCTGGCTGAGGGAGGGGACTAGCGTGTTGGCGGCGGCCAAACCCGTCTCCAAGAGCATGTCGTGGAACAGTCCGCCCGATTCGTCCTCGTCCTGCCTGAATCCTTCACTTCCCACTGCGTCAGACACGATGCTGCCGAGCCTGGCATTCGCGTCCAGGAAAGCCAGCTGGACTTTCCATTTGCGGCAGATCCCAATGAGGTCCCGCCACCACTGTTCCCTCTGTTGCGAGGTGTATTCGTCTCCGTTGTGCAACGCATGGGCAACCAGGATGACCTTCCTAAAGAGTGGGGCACAACAGCCAACCACCAAGTGCCTCTGGGTAGCGTACAGCGGCCGAAAATGTTTCTGTTCAAAGTACAGATCTTCTCCTCCTCCTCCCCCTCCTCCTCCTCCTCCCCCTCCTCCTTTTCCTCCTCCACGTCCTCCTCCTCCTCCTCCTCCTCCTCCTCCTCCCTCCATCCAGGTGGGGCGTTCCTAAAAGGGCCCTGCCTTTGAGGATCGACGGAGCTGTCATCTCTTCCTCGGCGGAAGGCGGCGGATGGTCGGCGGAAGTAGAACGAGGCCGCCTCCGCCAGCGGAAGCCGGTGGAAGGGCGGCGGAAGGTGGCGGAAATAAAACATGCGCCCCCAAGAGATGACAATATTTCTGGGTTCAGGTTTCCCAGAAACCGCCATCTACGGTCGGAACGAGGTATAAGATCAAGGTCGCTTCGGGGAGGGTGCCCAGATGTTCTTCGTGTGTGTGTGTGCGTGTGTGTGTGTGTGGGGGGGGGGGGGACGTTCTCGTGCGTCCTGGGAGAGGGTACCCTCGAATGCTCCGTTTGGCCAGCGGAAGGTCCCATGCTCTTGAAGGATGTTGTTATGTTCTCCGGTCCTCTCGAAGGAAGTTCTTCTGTCCTAGCTCCGGCCGTATCCCTCATCCCTCCGATCCTCCCTCCTCCCTCTTCCCCCCCATCCGGCTTTGTCCCAGTTCTGGTTTTGCCTTTCCAGGCCCGCCAGCGCGCGCGCGCGCCGGTTGCAGGTATCGATCGTTGTGTTCGTTGTTCAAGCAGTGGCGAAGCGTCTTGGCTCGCTTATAGTTCTACCAACAAATGTTCTAAGAACCTTTTGTGGTTTCCACGAAATGTTCTGAGAACATTTCTGGTTGATATTGCCTTGGTTTAACACATCGGGTTTATGTTCTAAGAACACTGTTGTTGTTCTTAGGACTTGTTTGGGTTCTTAGAACATTTCGTGGTAGGACTATAGGACTGCTGGGACGGTCGGTCCCTGCTCCAGCTGTGATCGTTGCTGGCTGTCGTGGCTGCTGTCATTGCTGCTGCTGTCTTCGTTGGCCTCGTCCTGCAGGGCCCGCCGCGCGAGCGCGCGCCTGGGGCCGCAGGCTGCCCGCGGGCGCGGGGGCGCCGGCCACATGGCCCCGCCCGCGGCCCGGGCCGGCGCCCGCGGGCGCGCCGCCCTGCCGAAGATCGGCGCGGCGCGCCTGGAGCTGGAGGAGCTCCCGACGGTCGGGGGCGGAAAAGAGGGGGGTGATGACTAAGGGGGGTGGATGTCATGGCGGGGGCCATGGTTTTTCCCCAGATTTCATGGCGCCTCTTCTTATTCCATTACGTCCCTAGCCCCCCCGCTGGGCCGCGCACATGCCGCCAGTCATGATTTGCATCCCCCCCCTCTTGGACACCCCCCTCTTGGCCGCTCCCGAGACGGGGGGGGGCAGGCCGACGATGGATGACGCTGGTCGGGGGTGGACAGACCTCCTACCCTGACGCGTCGATCGAGGAATTGGCCGTGTTCGGTTCGCGAGAGGGCGTCGCGGTCGTCATGTTTGCGGGTCCGGGCCCGTCGGTTTCGGACCCAGGCCGTTTTCCCGAAGGGGAGGTTTACTAAAGAGAGATTTGTCCACCGCCGAGGGGAGGCTGACGATGGATGGCGATGGCGATGGCGATGACAGGGGGGGGGGGATTGCCGACCGTGCTGCGAAGGCACGAGCGATGCTCCACCCGCAGGCGAACGCTGATGTGTTTCGCAAGTGGGTCGCTCGATCTGCATTTGTGACTCTGGCGCCACGTTCGGCTCCATGCTTCTGCCCAGATGGCCGAAGCTAGATCTGACATGGCGACTTTCCCAGCCTGCCATGGAGGATGAGGTCTCTGATTTTGAGGCCCACCAGCCATCAGTGGGCGAGTCTTGGCAGTGCAGTGTCTGTCTTCCGGGAAGGTGGGGCGAGTCTCACCCTGGGCATGGCCGCTGCGTGGCTCCTCCTCGCCTGTGCCCCGAGGTTTTTGGAAAGAGTGGTCACCATTGTGCCCTTGCTGACTTCACCGACAGCTCGGTTCTCTGTGTCAGCCGTGCCGTTCGAGCCCGCCACATACGGCGCGGGCGATACAACCTGGAACGATGTTCTCCAAGGCAGGCGCCCACAGCAGCATACAAGGAAGAAGAGCGGGGACTCGGGTGGTTCAAGACTTGGGAGCAATGGCCCCGTGAAGAGGGGGTCTAGCAGGCGTTGTTTATGTATGTGCCGCAGTATGTATGTGTAGATGCAGGCGTGTGTATGTAGATATGTGTGGTTATGTGTATGTATACAAGTATGTGTATCATCCTTCCCCTCTTCCACTCCTCGTCCCCCACCCCTCCTTTCCCTCCTGCTCCCTCCCCCGCGCGCTCCCGTGCGCGTTGGAGAGACGCCCACGCCGCCAACGACCGCGGCCCAGCCGCTCTGGCCCAGACGCGGCCGCTGCCCGCGAGCCGCGCCGCCTCAAGTGTCCGGCGAGCGCGGCGGCCGCCCGCCGGCGTTTTGGTGCGGCATGGAGGCCGCAGGCGGGCACGCGGGGGAGGAGAGGGGGGGGGGTGGACGAGGGGGAGGAGGGGGTGGAGGAGGAGGAGGGGGAGGAGGAGGAGGAGGAGGAGGAGGAGGAGGAGGAGGAGGAGGAGGAGGAGGAGGAGGAGGGGGAGGAGGGGGAGGGTGGAGGGGAGGAGGAGGAGGAGGAGGAGGAGGAGGAGGAGGAGGAGGAGGAGGAGGTGGAACAAGTAAAAGTGGCCAGGGGAAGAAGGCAGGAAGGAATAATGTAATCGAGGAAGGAAGGAAGGAAGGAAGGAAGGAAGGAAGGAAGGAAGGAAGGAAGGCAGGTAGTAGGAGGAGGAAGAGGAGGAGGCGGAGGAAACTGGAAGGAAGGAAGGAGGAAGCAACGTTGACGAAGAAGCGGGTGGAGGGAGGGGGAGGAAGGAACGAAGGAAGGATGCAGGGAGAGGGAACCTAATCACACAGGAGGGGGGCAGGGAGGCAGAGGAATGATAGGCAAGAGCCGTGCCAGAGGTGCTCTTTCCCGATCTCGGCCTCCGGGTCCCCGCTCCCACTCCCGCACTCTGGGAGGTGGGGGGCGGCATAAGTCGAGCGGGCAAGAACCACCGGCCAGGATGGAGCCCAGGGGGATTGCGCGTCGCGTACTAGGGGGTGCGACTAATGGAGGGGCAGCGCGGGCTGCAGAAAAGGGATCCTTCAGGGCCCCTCAATGCCTTCAGGGCCCCAAAAAAGGAGCGTTCAGGGCCCGACAAGTGCATCTTTCTTCCCCCCCATGTATCGCCCTCGGCCGAAACCGACACCGAACCTTCTGTGCTGCTAAAGCGACCCGATCGGTCAAGGCTGAGCGTCCCGTCTTGGGTGGATGCGGGGCGTTTGTGTTCGTGGACGCCCCGCGTGGAACGTGTCCGTGTGATCGCGTATCCGCGGGATCGCGCTTCGGAATCCAAATTGCAAGGGCGCGGATACGGATGAGTTCGCCGCTCGTGAATTTGCACGGCCTCGGAAGCCAGCCACACGCAGGGGGGGCGGGGGGGAGGGGGGAAGGCTTCTTAGAAGCACCATTGCTTCTCAAAGGCGCGGGCCTTACCTGTAGATGTAAGGCTGGCGCCTTTAAGAAGCAGCCTCCTTCTAGGAAGCCCTCTTCGCTGCCTCCAACCCCTTGCGCGCGCCACCAATCTTGGAACCAGTGTGCGGTCGGGAACCAGTGCGCAGGAAGGTTTTTGTACATGGCTAGCGCGCGCGAGATGACTCTGCCCAGTCCACGAGCATGCGTCATCATTCCGATGTCTTTGTCGCCATGAAAGACCAGCGGGCAGGTCGTCACGACACGGTCCCGCCGCGTGGTTCCCTGGGATGGCTGGGCGAGACCCCGTCTCCGAGAGGGCAGGGGCGTCCGGCGAGGGCGCCAGCGGGGACCGTTTGGGCTCAGCGCTCGCAAGGCTCGGCGCCAACAGGCTGCCTTCTCCGAAGAGCGCGACGAACGGAAAGCACACCATGTCTTACCCGCATCGCCAGACCCCAGCGGCACGCCACGAGAGACGAACGACGGACGACAGACGAGGGCGACAGCAAAAGGGCGTGGGGGGGGGGGGGAGGGGGCGGGGGACGAACGACGAGCACACACCGGTATCCACCGGGGGAACGCATGTGGCCGTGGGTGCGGCCCTCGCTCGCACGGGGGCCTCCCCGCGGGGGTCCGACAAGCCGCACCCATACCCACAGCCAGTCCTTCTCCCTTCGACCACCCTATGGGTATGGGTGTGTGTATGTGTGTTGCTCGTTCGTCAGATCCGGGCCTCCCAGATGATGGGGTCGGAGTAGATGGGGTCGGTGGATCGCGCCGCATCGCCGATGCATCGGCGATGCGGCTCGATGCGTAGCCCTATCTTCTCCACGCGGACATCGGCGATGCGGCGCGAGCGACCGACCCCATCTACTCCGACCCCATCCTGGAGGCCTCCAGAAGGCAGAGACGACTTCTCAGGAGGCCAGAGGGCTTCTGAGAAGCCCCGCCGCCCTCTCAGAAGGTCTCGCTCCCCCCCTCGGCGCGCGCCGCCGAAACGACGAGAGGTGGCCGGCGGGGGCCCGCGGGCGCAAGGCGAGGGTCGGGTCTGACGGAGGCGGGCGGAAGCATCGCAGGCGATCTCTCGCCCCCAGTCCTTGAGTTTTCCCCGATGGCTCGACCTGAACGTTGTTTTTGTTAACGCCGTGGACCGTTGTCGCTTTGAGTTTCGATTTTCTGCAGAGGTGGATAGGAGACAGAGCGAGGGAAAACGAAAGCATAACGGAAACGGAAAACACTGTTTAGGTCGAGCCTTGTTTTCTTCCAGCGCGGCCGCTCAGAAAAGATCGGGATTTCGTGGATATACCCTTGTGGGGGGCGGTTCGGACGCACCCCTCTCGAGGATGGACTTCCCCTGAGCATGTATCCCAGAGCTTGGCCCTGAACAGTCGGCGTGGTCGACATCTTCACAGAGCCGTGGATTGGGGTCGCCAATACCCCAGGCACGCCAGCGGAAGTGACAGCTCCCCCGCCCCCCCCCCCTCCGATTGCGAGAGCTCATGGCTGGCTTGCCCGGGGTGTTCTTGGTCGGCCGTGCGTCTCAAGGCCTCCGAGATGGAGTCCGGGTCGGAGGGTCACGCCGGACCGGCTATGCACCGGCGATGCCTCGGCGATGTGGCTCGACGTGGAGCCCGATCTTCTCCACGCCGACGTCGCCGACGCCGTGCAGACGCATCGCAGAGGCATCGGCGATGCATCGGCGATTCATCGACGATGCGGCGCGATCTGCTCCGACCCCATCTGGGAGAACTCTGGCGTCTGTCTTTCCTCACCCCCCTTCCCCGGCAGGCGGCGGGGAGGAGCGCCCTGCCGGTAAGAAGAAGAAGGAGAAGAAGGGCGCTGCATCTGCGGCGGCGCCGGAGCCCGAAGGCGGTGCAGATGGCGCCAAGAGCAAGAAGAGCAAGTACCGCCGAGACAAGCCCTGGGACACCGATGACATAGACCACTGGAAGCCCGTCGAGATCTCCAAGGAAGACGCCCCGAAAGGTGGGCTGCTCACCGAGGAGAGCTCGTTTGCGATGCTGTTCCCGCAGTACAGGGAGCAGTACCTTAAGCAGGTTTGGCCAGACGTGAAGAAGGTGCTTGCAGAACATGAGATCAAGGCAGACCTGAATCTTGTGGAGGGTTCGATGACTGTGAAGACGACCCGCAAGACTTGGGACCCATACATTATCATCAAGGCCCGCGACATGATCAAGCTGCTCGCGCGCAGCGTTCCGCTGCCGCAGGCGCAGACAATCCTGGAGGACGAGAAGTACTGCGACATTCTGAAGATTGGAGGCCTGGTGGCCTCGAAGGAGCGCTTCGTCAAGAGGCGGCAGCGCCTGGTTGGCCCGAATGGCTCCACCCTCAAGGCCATAGAGCTGCTGACGCAGTGCTACGTCCTCGTGCAAGGGCAGACGGTGAGCACGATCGGGTCCATAAAGGGCATAAAGCAGGTCCGCAGGATAGTCGAAGACTGCTTCAAGAACATCCATCCGATCTACCACATAAAGGAGCTGATGATCCGCCGGGAACTGGAAAAGGACCCTGCCCTAAAGGACGAGAACTGGGACAGATTCCTGCCGCACTTCAAGAAGAGGAACGTGCAGCGGAAGAAGATGAAGCTGAGAAAGAAGAAGACCAAGGAGGTCTTCCCGCCGCAACCCACACCTCGGAGAGAGGACCTGCTCATGGAGAGCGGAGAGTATTTCCTGAACGAGCAGGAGAGACTGGCGAAGAAGAATGCAGAGCGAAGGGAGGCCCAGCGCGAGAAGAGCACCAAGAAGAGACAGGAGCGGGCCAAGGAGTTCGAGCCCCCCACTGCCGGATCGTCTGGGGACGGGCCCGCCGCCAAGAAGAGGCGAGCCTCGGATGCCGCCGCTGGCTCTGCCGGCGGCGAGAGCGCACAGGCCATCGCCGAGAGGTTGAAAGCCAAGGCCACGGAGAAGAAGCCGCAGAAGAAGCGGGCTGCCAGCGACCTCCTGCTCTGAGTGACGGAAGGTTGTGGCCCTGCGCGTCGCGCGCACCGGGGCTTCCAAGGTGGTCCCTGGGGAACCTCCAGCGCAGTGCAGCCTCTGACTCCAGGACTGGCGCGGGCCGCTTGAGGAGACGCAGGTCTGCAAAATGCTGGTTATATGCGCGCCCTTTCGACGCCCACCTCGTCGGCAGAATCGCAGATTGGAGATCATGATCAATGCCCAGGGCGCCCCACACCATCTGGAGAGGCACTGCGCAGCACAGCAGCCTTCATCTCACCTCCATCGTGCGCACAAGACCAGCATAGTCGGTGACGCAGGAGTGGAGACGTATAGGCAGCGTCGAATCATTCAATGCAGTGCGTGTTACGGTCGGGATGATACATGGCTGCGCACTTCTAGGGGGAAGCGTTTGCCACCATGGTCAAGTATGCCGTCTGCCGAACGCGCTCAATGGGGTGGTGGGCGAAATCGTGAGAAGGCATATCTATATAGATATTTATATATATATATATATGCATACAGAGAGAGAGAGAGAGAGAGAAAAAAAAAGAAATAAATAAAGAAATATATATTCATCGCAAGAGAGGCGTGCCTTACAACATCGAGGATCCAGTGATAGTGGCACACGTAGAGGCGCATAGAGAGAGAGAGAGAGCGAGAGAGAGGGAGTGAGTGAGTGAGCGGGAGAGACCATTCGCGATGCGAACCGGGATATCGAAACTACGAGCGCTTGCGAGCGAGCTTCATGGCCTTGCTGAGATCCTTCAGCCATCGATCGGAATGAATCCGATTGGAATGCTCGCCTCGTTTTGCAAGCGTAACCCTTAGTCACTGTTTTGCCAGGTGGTCTACCATATTACGACCGTAGAAACCACAACTAGCAAGAGCCTAGACAAATGTTTGTGCCAACGCACTCGGTGAATAGTGTGGGGCCAGCCCCCCCCGCTACGTGCGGCCTACTTCGAGGAGGGAGGGCAAAGACCCCCCCCCCTGTCAACATTCGCAGGTTGGGAATACGGAGACTGCATGAAGTCACTCTGCGTTGCCAGATCTGACAGAGCTGCAACGTTGAGTGCACCGCCTGCCAGATTCGACAACTGCGTGGATGCTGCGAATCGCCTCACAGCTGCATGAGGAGTAGGAGTGGGAGGACCAGTCTCTTTTTTCCCCAGGGTCCCGTGGGTGTCCTTCTCCAGTTCAGCTTCGACGTCCATCGTGTCAAGAGGGTGGTACGTAGTAGACCCATACGTGTGAAATCTGCATCCTTCTCGATGGGAATGACCCGGTACCTGGCATTGTCACCGATCCCAACCTTGGCACCCGCTGAGCGTGCGACATCAACCTCCTCGTTGCTCACCGCCAGTTGTCACAACGCCCCGCCGCTCACAATGTCTGATCCAGACAGGTGTGGGATGACAGACAGGACCGTGATCTCTGTAGAGTCTGGTCTGGATGGCTTAACCGATGGCATGCCAGAATGCAGCATGATCACCACCTGACGGATTGAATCATTGACGCATTTCCTAATAATCGGCCACCATGCTGTCTTCTGTGACGTACACTGCTACTCCAATCGAGCCGCGAACACTGATAACTAAGGCATGCTCTTCCCCCCTTGGCGCACTTTGCTAGCCTCCTGGGATGCCTCCTGAAACTGTGTCTGCAACCTGAAACGGATGAAACTGAGCGACTTTGAGCGTTGCTGGGCCGACTCTGCGGAGCCTTGCGCCAGTCGCGTCCTTCCCCGCACTGGCGTCTCCAAACATCCACAACAGGATCAGACGGAGTGCCGTGGCCGAAAGTCATGTGGTTGTTGTGTTCTACCGCTTCCTCTACTGTATGCCGAAGCTCCTCTACCGTGGGTGGATCACTTGCTGCCCGCGCCGACAGTACGAGCCCTCGCAACCAAACGCATATGATTCGCTTTGGTGCCGAGCCCCAGGCACGGTGATTCAGTTTCTCAGAGAGCACGCCGGCTTCAGAATCTCTGTACTTACAGCAGCCGTGCCATATGTGGAAGAGACTTTCGCCCTGGACTCCACATCTCGGGCACATGTCGGATCCTTGAAACGTTTCGGCCCCAGCTGCATCAACCCGACGCGTCCTGGGCCAGCACCCTCCGGCCGCCACAGTGTAATGGACCTCCACCATCCTACAGTCGGGGCCTTGAAGAAGGAACGCTTTTCGTTGGGGAGGGGCTCGGTGTTCCTTGATTGTTGTATGGGAAATCGAAGTTCAACTTGTGGAAAAGAGGGGCCTTGTTCCTTATTTAGGGTTCCTGAGGTCAACGCCCCGACTGTACCCCTCTGTCGGCATGCTGAGACGCTGCCCACAGAGCCGCCCGATTGGGAGCACATCCACTCTCTGCTGAACTCCGTCGCCACAGAGGTTCTCCGAAGCCTGCTGCCGGAGCCGCCTCTGAGCACAGTATTGCAGGTCCGGCACCAAGCCTGTGGGTGCACCGGCAGTGTGCCTGGACCTCTGACCAGCTGGAAGGGCCCGAAGTTGGTTCACCACTGCGGGCCACGCTGTGCTACCACAGGATCTCACCGAGGGCTCTTGCTGCTACATTGGAAACCCCATACTCGTGACACTCCTCCTGCATGTGCAAGGCTGGGTTGCGCGTCGCCTTGATCGAGAGCATCGTCGTGGGGCGGCATCCTTTTGCCCCTGATGGCATTCTGCTTCCAACCTGCTCCTGTAGGTCTTGAGGTACGTGCCGAAGGCCCCGTGGATCTGGTATGCGTTCGATCCCGCCGCTTGCGCACCAAGCCTTTCGAGCTTGGAAGTAACACAGTCGGTTATATATGTAGCTGCTAGCTTGCGGATCTTCTCATGCATCTGAGGGCATTTGAGAAACCGAGCCCGTCTTGTCTGCCGCACGTGCTGTCCACCGCTCTCCAGTTCGCTGCCAAGATGTGGCACTGACTTTTGATGCTGGACGGCAGAACCCTGCACAGCGAAGCGCCCGAGTCACATTCGGGCATCGCCATGATGAGAGCACATGATGGCGATTTCCTAGGCCACTCGGAGTTACATCTTGGCCTCATATTTGCACGCCATGGCTGCATTCCGAACAAGTTGCTTGCACGCTGACTCGCGTCATACAACCGCACGTTGAGAAAGACCATCCACCCAAATGCAGTGTGCCGTGTGCGGGCGTGCCGTGCACACTTTCTGCAGCGTGCAACAAAACATGATGCGGGCAAACCTCGTGCCCGATCTCGGCCCTTGCAGTACAGGCTGCGCCGGTAACAATGGTAGCGCTCACTCCCAACCTTAACCAGGAGATCTCGGTGTCATACATTGAAGCGCCTCCAAGCATGATCTGACCGCTGGGGGACCAACCATCAATCCATCTAGGAGATACCGCCACTGAGCTGCGTCGTAGAAAAACCTCCAATATGCAACACTCCGTGTCCAGAGGGAGTGTCCAGTGCGTGTCCGACCTCCTCTTGAAGCGTGGCCATCTCTTCGACTCGATGACTGCGTTCTTTGGTTTCCCAAGAAGGGGTTCTCCCCCAAAGGGGGGTCGCAACCCCCACGTCCCCCCCGGCTCCCTCCAGGGACCACCCCCCGATCCCCCCCGAGCCCGCCCCCCAAGCGGTGACCGGATCAAAGGGAAGGCGCTTCTCTTCGACTCGATGACGGCGTTCTTCGATCTCCCTTTGACTGAAACGCTTGAGGTAGAGCGACTCAATGACGACGTTCTTCGATTCTGTTTAAGTAGGAATGGTTGAGGTAGAGCTCCTAGGGAAACAGGGAGAGCGGCGACGACGACGACGGCCCACACGGACACACGGAACGACGTCCTGGGGGAGGGTGTTGCGGCGATGACGACGACGAATGAAACGGAAAAGTGTTTCACACCCGCCGACATGGTCGGCGGATTGTTTTCGGCGCATTTAACGAGGGTGGGTGCGTCAAACACATCATCAGGATGCAGATATATGTTTCAGGTTTCTCCTTAGGTCCCGGCCCCTCTCGCGTTCTTTGTTCTTTCAGATGTTCTCTCTCTCTCTCTCTCTATCGCCCCTTTCCCTTCCGGACCGCCCCGAACCTCCTCCCCTTCGGTCGACATCGAACCCCTTCCTCACCCACCTCCCTCCCTCCCCTCCCTCCCATTGTCGTTGCCGCTGCCGCCGCGGAGGACGTGCCCTTCGCCGTCCTCGTCCGCGTCCTCGTCTTCGCCGTCCTCGTCATCGTCGTCCTCGCCTTCGCCCTCGTCCCTCGTCCTCGCCCTCGCTGTCCTCGCCCTCGTCCTCTCACTCGTCCTCGTCGTTCTCGTCGTCGTCGCCCTGGTCCTCGTCCTCGCCGTCCTCGCCGTCCTCGCCGGCGTCATCCTCGCCGTCCTCGCCCGGAGGACGTGCCCCTCGCCGTGCCGCGGCCCTGCCCCATGGGCAGCCTCCGGGCCTCCTCGGGCCGAGAGGCGCGCGTCGGCGTCGTTCTCGAAGTCGGCCTCGTCGTCGTCGTCGGCGTCGTTGTCGTCGTCGTCGGCGTCGTCGTCTGCGTCGTTCGCAGTTGGCGTCGTCGTCGATGTCGTCGGCGCCGGCGCCGGCGTCGGCGTTGTCGGCGTCGTCGGCGTCGTTCTCGTAGTCGGCGACGGCGTCTGCGTCGTTCTCGTCGTCGGCGGCTTTCTCGTCAATAGTAGGGCTTCGACTGCGTCAGTGTCGACATGGTTACCGCCGCGATTGGCGGCATCGGCGTCAATGTCGTAATTGTTTTCTTCGTTGTCGGCGTCGAGTTCGGCATGTGCTGATTTTGTTGTATCCGCTGATTGGGAGGACCTCGATCTTCAAAATGACCTTATCGTGCGATGCGCGAACAGAAGGAGGGGGTGCACTGGAGCAGAAGGAGGAGGAGGAGGAGGAGGAGAAGGAGAGGAGGAGGAGGAGGAGGAGGAGGAGGAGGAGGAGGAGGAGGAGGAGGAGGATGGGGCGGATGTCGTCGTCGTCGGCGGCGTCGGCGTCGGCGTTAGCGTCGGCGTCGTCTTCGTAGTCGGCGTCGCTCTTGCAGACAGTCGGCTTCGTCGTCGTCGTCGGCGTCCTCGTTGCCGCCGCCGTTGGCGACACCGGCGTCAGTGCTGTCGTTGTCGTCATCTTCTTCGTTGTCGCCGTCGTTTTCGGCATGCGCTGATTTTGTTGTATCCGCTGAGTGGGAGAACATTGATCCCGGATCCCCCAAAGGACCCCATCATTCGATGCGCAAACAGAGGGGGGTGCATTGGAGGA